TGATGACGGTACTAGTGGAGCCAAGAGAGAACATTTGCAACACATGCTTTTCTTCCCCTCCAGGCTCCAACGAACGAAACCAATTGGAAATTTACCGTTTATGTCGAATAGACATTGCACAAAGAAAACAAAATCTAGAAGGCACTGTTGAAACTGTACATACAACAACGCATATGCAAGCAAAATCCGAGGAGTTCTTGAAATTTGGAGGAACTTTCGGGGGATTGCCACCGCAGCGTCCAGCACCGCTTTTTTGGATCCGCCAAAAATGCCGGATGTGAACTAGGAACTTAAAGGATAATATCTAATGGCTATCTCTGCTTAGTTCATGCTTGATCCTACGTATGAACGGAAGCATGCATGCGATAAGTAATTTAGCAAATCGCACTGCATCGCATGGTAATCCGACATTCAGCCAAGGAACATGTGACTGTTTACATTCACGCCTTACCAAGAATCCCAATCACATTATTACATTCCTAAAGGTCACTTCAGGTCGCTCACTGCCACGGGTGGTGGAGCATAGCTGTCTAAATAAGAAATGCTGAGATAATCCAGTAATGGACTGCAATGAGGTTTACAAGGCGTCTAGTGCCTTAGAACGGGCACGACGTAGCGTGAGTGTTGCCATTCTGCTCAGCTAGGTACAGAACGGCAGAGCGCTCGATCTGAAAAAAGAACGAGCCTCGTGTTGCCTTCAACCAGGATATAGAAAGTGTATAGGTATGTATGTGGGTATATATGTACTATAGGGTTATAAGGTTGAATGGTTAAGAAAAAGAGCTATGGAAAAATGTAAAGAAAGAATATACAAAGATGTTAGAGCTAAGGCCATAGGCGGCGGAATGGGGGGAGCACCGAGGCACGGTGCCCCACCCCATTGATTTTGCCGTTTTAACATTAGCCCTATGGGCGTTGCATGGAAAGAATGGGACCAAAAGTCGGCGGTGCCCCCCCCCCCCTTAATTGAAGGTGTTCCGCCGCTACTTATGATGAATAGTGAATACGATATACAAAGATGTATGACCCAAGAGCTCATTCGTACAAATTAAACACTTCTTCAACACAATAGGCACAATACTGATAGCGACTTGGATGGTAGGTACTCCTTTTTTATCGTTTTCGCTGTTCAGTTTATTTCTACCTATATCCATCGCTGGCGTAGGTGAAACCCGATGTTCGGTTTTGAGTGGCCCGTAACGGTCTACGATTTCATTAGTGCCAAATATTTCGCAGCAACCTTTATTTGTTCTGAATAACAAAACTCATTTTTCTATGTCTAATCTTGCAGCCATGAGCCTAAATATACGGCCTGCCCTGCAGCTTGCATCAGTGAATGATATCTTTGCACGGAAGATGTAGCCCTCGAAACCGAATAAAGTTTACCGAGCTACATTTTAGGCACACTGATCACGGGTAGAGTGCTTATTCACATGCGCATGTACAGGCGTCGCCCCGTGTCTAGAGAACGGTTTGGGCCAATTGTGCTCAAATTTGGAGCACTTTTGGAGCCGATGAGAAGAGTCTTTGAAACAAATCAGTTAGGGATTACATTGCACGTGCACACGTGCAGAGGGCTGGTTTTACATTTCGGAAATGGTTGGGCCACACTGTAAAAAATATTGACGAGCTATGTGTCAAAACAAGGGTCTCGAAACAGTCACCAGGTTGTCAATGCTTCCGGTACCTACCACTTGACTAGTTACCGCTTAGTTAGCTTACAGGCTGAGAACTATCCAGATCGTTATGATCCGGTATTGTGATGATACCCTAGGTGTACCTTTGTTTTGAAGTGCTGAATTAACTATCAAGGTTGTTTGACGTTTGTTTTCGCCTCAATCCGAAACGAGGAAGACCCTCATCAAATTATTAGGTGAAAGCCAGCCTCAGGATGATCAAAATACTAGGGGTAGTTTTGTCATAGTAATCTGTGAAGGGTGAGGAACAAGCCGTAGCAATGCACTCGTCACTAAACCAGCCTGAAATTATTCGCCAGGTAGCTGCTGCGTTTCCCTACTTGCTGAATCATGTTAGCAACTTTCCATTTCCAGACACTTTTTACGGCAAATAAATTGTTGGGTTATTTGGAAGGTGAATGACAATTTTATTTCTATAAGTCAATACATTTGTATTTCCGATTGCCCTAAAACTTTTTTTTTAATCGTTTGCGGTAGGTTTTTATTGTTCGCAATAAAGTTGCGCACCTGTGAATCCTTCACTTAATGCGTTCCCGGCTTCCCGGCGCCAGTTGCGCTGTGCCGTGCCGCGTTCGGTCGGGGGTGCGAGCGTCTGTGAAGTGCGAGTGTTTATCACTGGGTAAACCTGTATCGTTTCCATTTGTGCAGTGTCTAGTTATGAAGAATTGCTTACCGATATATGACCTGCAGTGATCGACGTTCTGATTCAATAACTAGCCATAAGCCACTATTCTCAACTAAATCGCGCAGAGACGTTTGCAAAGTTGTCGAGGGGGGGGGGGACAAGAGCGATTTTAAATGAATTGCTCTCCATGCAGTGCAATAGGACTTTGGTTTAATTTTTCAAAAGTTGTGGAGCCGCCCCCGGTGTCCGGCCTGGCCAACTCTCTCAAGAACCGACAGCTAACGGATCACTGAAGTTTCACTACGACGATTTCCGCCAAAGTTATGAAGAAAAGGCAAGTGCAAGAAGTACAAAACTTCTCTTGGTAATCAAAACTTAGGTTTGGCAAATTCCAAACCCTAAGTCACTACAACTGTGGATATAAATAAGCTAGTTATTGACGGCCAAGCTCTGGCCAATCTGAGGTTCAGACCTATCATCAAGTTCATGAGGCAGCTGCGGTTGGGCGGCTCACGGGCTCCACTGCATAGGCTCAGACAGGTACTCTACAAAATGTCTTCTGTGTTCTTAGGTTCAGATCTATCGATATGTGCATGCTTCTGATTCGATTGATAACTGTTAACGGGCGCTGGAAGTGAAAGGTTCGCTTGATATACAAAAGGTGCATTGCAAGAAAGCATATTATTTCAGAAATACACTTTCATTTTATCTTGAGCGTTTTTGGAATGGGCCGGATGAATTCGTCATCAAACTGGTAAGAGATTTCGTTTGAAGACCACCGATATTTAATAATATGATGGTCTTCAAACGAATTCGCTGGCAAATTCGATGACTGGATTGGGCGGCGTAGGATCTGCTGGTCATCTGACTATGGGTTGAGCAATACGTTAGTTTTGACCTAGTTTGAGCTTCATTCGTTAAGTAGGAACAAGACGATGCTTCTTTTGAGCATCGTCACTAAACAAGCCGCCCTCGTTTTGACATTGTTTTTCGTTATTATTGTTACTAGGTAGGTTGTTATCATACACAGCATTAACGAGGACCTGCTTCCAAAACAAGGCAGAAACGCTCCAGCTATTTTTGGGACGTGGTAAAAACTAACCGACACCTGGTAACTGTCATCTGACGAACACAAAACAAGCCAGGGGCTCGCAGCGTGTGTCAAAAGTAGGATGCAAAACTAGTCTGTACCCCCGACATTTAGCGTTGAGAATCATTTGACGAGGGGCTAGTCAATATTTTTTACAGTGCAATTGCGCTTAAATTTGTTACACCGTTATTGGATCGAACAGAAAAGGTGGCCCGCACAAGTTGGGGGGGGGGGGGGATCTCGCATCGCACTTGCACACGTTCACTGCAGTGCTCACTATTGCACTCGCTCGTCTGTCTGCCTTACTGGACTGTCCTGAATCAAAAGAAGTTTGCCCCAAGGCCATATATAGTAGGTAGCGACACTGAGCGATTTGTTTACAACCAGTTTCGATCCCGATGACACAAATGTGTCGTCACGAGACAAAACAATATGGCCACCTGGTTTGCCCATTTATCGCTATAGCCTGTAAATATGTAAGTATGTAAGTACATAGAAAGCGTTTTCAAGACGGGCTACCTGGCGAATGTATCTAATCCAAACTGACCAACTCTGCACCAAATCGCTATTACAACAAATACTCGTACCTTCGTATTATGAATTTATTTCAGTGTTTTCATTAAAATAGTGACCTTCGTATTATGAATTTATTTCAGTGTTTTCATTAAAATAGTGTCTGATAATCTGAAAAATCAAATCAGGTATCAGGCATATAACTGTGCAACCCAAACCGATAACGACCAAATCTGCACCAAATCTGTACCTGATGTGCACCAAATGTGTACCAGATAGCCGTCGTGAAAATGGCTAGTACATACTTATTCATTTAAGCCTTTTTAATGGTCATAGAACAAATGCATTTAAATAGTTGTTATCTGTTCACATACAACGTGGCAGATCAAACTTCAAAGTGAATGATAGCGCGATTATCGAATACTAAATGTTATCCATTGTGGAAGGTACTATGACTAGTTATTATAAACATGTGGCTTATCAATCTTGTGGGGCTAAGTTTCAACTCAGCGCTACATAGGTAAAAGCGGTAAAAGCTGGGGTGACGTTTGGCATGTCTCGTCTCTGTCATTGCCACCTTTCTACATATTCACTGTTTGGAATTATGCGCCATGAGATCGTCGCAGTACGTCCAGTGCGCCACTGATCGCTGAACAGTGCGCCACTGATCGCCGCTCTCTGGTCGGCGGGATCAATAGAGTCGGCCACAGACGGTCTCTGGTGACCCCGCCGACCCGGCCGACCTGCCAGGCCTCTGGTCAGCCGGGGGTGGCTCCGTGCTCCCCGCCAGCGCCGCCAGCCGCCCTGATTACTGCCGCCCCGTGTTCGACATAATTAGACCTGCCGACGATCCTCCGCTAATCGGCGTCAGCGCTCTTTTCGCCGCCGACCAATCAGCGCGCGGCTCCCACCGCCAATCAATGCCGTCATCATCGGGGGGCGGAGCCTGTGGGCCGATCGCCGTTGGTGGGCGGGGACACGCCGCTCGGCCGACGGCAATACAGAAATAATAGAAAGGTTGGCAGCACAAGCGGCGGCGCCGATCGCCGCGCTATTTTCCGTGCGAACGCCGGCGGCCGCGGTCATGTCGGCTCCCGGATCGCCGCGCAGTGTCTGTGAGAGCCCGCTGGGCTCGCGCTCGCCGTCACCGCCGGCGGTGCAGGAGCACGCCAGGTCACCGGAGGTCAGCCCGCGGCCCGAGAGGAAGTCGTTCAGCATCTCCGACATCCTCAGTCGCTCTGATCCGGTGCGAGAGAGGCTCGATGACACGCAGAAGCTGCTGGACGCGGCGGCGGCCGCCAGGTAGGTGGGGTAATGATGGTCTGGCTGATGTTGATCATGGTGAGGGCAGAGGTGCTGTGGAATGGCGTCAGACCTTGTGACTTGTGAGTCAGCCATGGTCGGGATCGAGCGCTTGATGGTCGAGTTATCAGAACTGTTGAAGGCTGGTATCTTGGTCGCGTAGATATGAGCAAAATGAGACCGCATCAGCGATTCACATGCTGATGCTATAATAATTGCCTGCAAATAATGTTTCATGACTTCAATGTCCTTCCAGCCATGTTATGAGAGGTGCTTTAGTATGAATGTTTGTAAGAATGTTTGCGATTCCTGCAAGATTCCCTTTCAACCTGCACATTCTACGTTACCTGGGATCAAATGTGTCTCATCTGCCGTTTTCACGACGGGCTATCTGGCGAATTCACCAAATTTGACCAAATCTACACCAACTCTCTTTTACAACAAATATCTTCATACCATGAGCCTATTTCAGTGTTTCAATAGACAAAAATGTCTGATGATCTTAAAAATGAGTTATATAAGCATCTGTGCAACCCAAACTGATAATTTTAAACTTTTAAGAAACACAACGTACCTACTTTGACCAGATCTAGGTCAATCTGCGCCTAATATGCATCTTATTGGCATCAAATGTATACCATATGGCCGTCGTGAAAACGGCTGTTAAGAGCCTCACTATCAAGGCTACCCAAGGGGTATGGGAGGGTCCCGTGTTTGCCGACTGCAGTACAATTATTTGTTTCAATAGAGAACACACTTCTCCGCAATAAATTCGTGACGCTCATAAACGTACTAACCGACAGCAAATTGCACTTGGTTATTTAGTGCGAATAGCATGCAACTTTTAGGGGATACCTAGGCAACTGATGACTATCAACTATGATAAGTCTTCATTTTTATAATCTCCGTGAAACAAATATCACTCGAATGCTGAGATTATGTATGCACATTATGTAGCACATCATGCAAAGTCATCGCCTCTTAGTTTTGTTTCTTGACAAGATAACTTTGAAATATGGGAACAAATTATTGCAACATTATATAACCATGTCAAACAACAATAAAATTAATAATAAATGATGTCCAGGTATGCTTGCTATCAAATCACAAGCAGCTGCTACCACACTTTCAATGAAAGACATCTACCGAAGCGAATTATGAAAGGATTCATACGTATTTTTGATATATGCCATTTTCCACATGCAATTTCCTCATCGCATGCTTGATGGCATCAATAGCCCTACACACATAGATGAAGGTGGTTTGTAACGTTAGGTAGGTATCTGTATGTTACATGATACACACTGCCATTCAGGGTTGATGGTCTGTCCAATACGCTCGCTAAGCTCTTCCACACGTCAGAAACCGACCGTAAACAGAATGCACAGTTTTAATCTCCTATTCAGTCGGATCCTTGGGCTCTATAGATGTAAGCAAGCGCCGTGCCACGGTGAGCTAGTTGAGAAGAGATATTTGAGTAATTCCTGTAGAGTCTGACTACATGCAACATAATGCGTCTTTTTTGGATATATGATTTTATTCGTCAGTATATCATAACATGACACAATCATGGCGACACTCGATGCTAAGTTTCATCTCACCGGACACGAAACGATCGTGGACGGGAGGTGACACATTGGTAGCGAAGATTGCACAGCGCGCACTTCCATCAATGCCTATACCATCCACTGCAACATAATGCGTCAACGTTTTCAGTCGTTTTCCTAAGCAGGACGTTTCAGATAGGAATGCATCTGTTGGCATTCATCCACCTATTGAAAACTATATAGCAGGCAAACACACGAGTCTTAGAACGGCTTCTGTTGTCTCTCCACTGTAACCGTGTTTTGAATTTTCCTGCTATTTTGGAAACGATTCGTCATGATCAAGTCAATAGAAAGTCCTATAAGCCCTAGCCTCTATGCCATTCGATCGGAAAACCAGGTTTAGGGGGCCGGAGACGACACTGTATAACCGATTGCTGGCAATTTCCGCCCAGATCAAATAGCTACCGTCGGAGCGGCTCGAACCGGGCTCCATTCACTTGCAACGCTTGCTGCAAAACAACCGTTTGTGTGTAATGTGTATGCATGTAGTGTTTTCCTTGCCATGCTAAAGGGCTATTGTTTTTCGTCAATCAGAGACATTTTCGTATAGACGTATGCGCAAGGTGGAACATTTATCATGGCAAAGACTCACTCTTCAAAATTTGATCCAGACAACATCTAAATGGTGGTTTGTTTTTCTCGTTTAAAATGCTCATGGCACAAATCATTATGCCAGGTGATCTCAGATGCTGACCTGCGGGATAAAAAGGGAAATAGCAAAGCAACAGGCCTTTTCTGATCTAAATAATCCTACAAGCACTGATGCTAAGATGGCACCTACTACAAACAAATGCCTTTCATCAAACACTCTATTTTGCCGACATCTTTTATTTTGGTCAGTTTCTAAAGTGTCAGATGATTTAAAAGAAGGCCCTGGCGATGCACATTTTGTCAGTTGTGTAATCCAGAAATGATGAAGTTTTTTTTTTTTTTTTTTTGTTCAACTCGAACATCATCAGCGCGTATATTTCGTTCATTTTGATTAAATGACTCCTCGATCAAAGGTTGTACGGGTGAAGTGATTGTTTTTACCTCATCCTTCCCAACTTGTCAGAAGACGTCGCTCACTTTATAATAGTTTGGTTCGTTACTTACCCACTGATGCGGATGCTTCAGCCGTGGCCCGTGATAAAGCAGCAGGAAGTTTTAAACACCGTCAGGCCAACGCTCTGAACTTGAGAGATTACTCGTTAAGTTGTCGCTTTCAGAGGCTTTCCGCCTAATAGCTTCAGACCATCAATATTAAATTGCATGCAAGAATCTACCAATCTCTGCCGCAACAGCTGAACTATTTCTATCGAGAATTTCGCACACAAGTAGTCCTTTCATCAGAGACTTGGCATTGTCAGAAGTACTCAAACTTTCGTAAGCCTTCTTTTACAAACCAGAGGCACGTTATAAGGTCTGAGTACCGAATTGCGGCACAGTTGAAACTATTCGTCAGTCAAGAGCATTCAGTCGTTCAGTGCGCATTTGCTTTTAAAACTTTCAAATGATGTTTCAGAAGACGATGTGATTCAATTTGTGACCGGAAATGTCGTTTATTCATCATGCGTGCTACGTCCATTCAGTAATAACACCCTACACGTCCCTTTGTTAGTGCATTCTCGAATCCACTGCTGAAACTTATGCTCCCCTGCATGTTCCCCTTGTGCGTTCTGGCTTGAATCCTGTGGTACAACATTCGCTTCTTGTGTTCCTACTTGTGCGTTCTCGCTCATTCTCAGCATTGACATCCATGTTCCCTTGATTTCCTGCGCTCTTTGGCTCGAACCCAGCACTGACACCTATCTCCCCTATGTTCCCCCGTGCCCTCAGGTTCGGGTTCCTGCAGCTGGGCTCTCTGGCCGCCCGGTATCCGTACCTGACCGGATGTGACGTGCTGGGGAAGCCGTTCCCCTGGCAGGCCGTGTGGCCTCCCGCCGGTCATGTGCCCGCCCAGCCGCCGCCCGTTCACCCGGCTCGGCTGCCCCTGCACGCCCACTCGCCAGGTAGGGATGGGGGAGACGGTGCGGGAGTGACTTTAGGTGAGAGCTTAGGTGAGTGACGGGAGTGAGTTTAGGTGACACTCGACGAGGACGGGGTTGATGCTCAATGAGGGTGGGTTGACACTCGATGGGTGAGGACTGATGTTTATATGTAAATGTGTGTTGACCAGCTAGATGTTTCACGTTATGTAACGGGTCCAATGGGCGATTATATTCTTCCTTTCCCCAAAAGGGAAACCGTGCACACGGATGCTTGTCCTTCCGATCCAATTTATCCAGAGTCAAGAGACGGCACGGTTCTTTATCCTCCACTGAGCAAAGATAGCCTGTTCATTACCGCTGGTATCGGCCCAGAAGAGTCCCCGCTCAATACCCAATCAGATTACGGAGCCGCGGGGTACTGATGGGGTCACCACGGCGCTCCTCAGCCTGCGGCCACTCCTGTTACTGACGGTGCTCAACAGTAATCAGCAGCGCTCCACAGCGGTGAGCTACAGTGATCAGCGGTGATCAACAGACATCGGATCGCCGGTCCCCGATAAAAACCCGCCCGGCTGATCAGGGCGCCACTGATTTAACGGGAAGGAGCGGCGACCAATCGGCGCCGATCCAGCCTTTCCAGGGCTAAACTGGCACGCGATACTGGGAGCGGACTGGGATAGCAGATGGGATAACCCGATCACGGGCTTGACCACCGGATATTGGTTCGGTATAGAGGTGGAAATGACTAACGTTTTCCAAATTCTTGACTAATGACTGACTAATGACTAATGACAATTTTGGTTGACTGACTTTTGACTGACTAATCTGTCGTCTCAAAAAGCTTGACTGACTAATGAATGACTAATGTCATTTTTCTCGAATTTGACTAATATTTGACTAAATTTCGGAATTTACAAGTAAAGCAAGTTTTTCCGCGAATATCTTAGCTTCTACAGTCTACAACTTTTTAGGCGCAATTTCAAAAAGCTTAAGACCGAATACAAAAAGTTCACGTTCATTTCGAACCCTAACTTTTTTAATTTGGCCTTAAACTTTTTGAAATTGCGCCTAAAAACGTGTAGACGTCTGATCGACACTGGAAAAACACCAAACGATTCCAAATTTTCTCCCTAATTATTTCATGGTCAAAGCGATGCGAAGCAAGCGCAAGATATCTTGTCGGCCGCTATACGACGCCTGGTTCGGGAGATAACCGGGGGGGGGGGGAATTTACCCCCTCCAGTCGGGCGCGTTCGGCCGGCGACCCCAATGGGGCGCGGGTTTAGTCACCTCACGAAACACGACAAATTAGTCAACTAATATGCAACAAAATCATTGACTAATGACTGACTAATGACTAACAAACATTTTGGTTGACTGACTTTTGACTGACTAAAAAAGCGCTTGACTAACGTTAGTCGACTAATTTTTGACTAATGACTAATATTCATTTCCACCTCTAGTTCGGTATGGTTGAAAATACTCCGACAAAAACGTCAGTGAAAGTGTACCCCTTTTGCCACTTGCTGAATTTATTTTACAGCATTCAAATTATTAAATTGCTTTGCATTTAAAAGTAAAAAGATTTATCAACCATATGGTTAAATGAGAATCTATGGTTGAATTTAGAGTAAAGTCATAAAGTGGGCACACATTTGCATGCATTTTTGTAATTTTATCAGGAATAACACAGTAGGGAACGTTAGATTTTGAGACATTTAAGGCCGCCGTCCACCGGTTGAGTACGCGCTGAATTTAACATGGAAGTCTATGGGCTGCGCGCCGAATGCGGTTCAGTGCCGAATGCGCGATGAATCGCAGTCAGCTGATTATTCGGCGGCTGTTGGGCGCCGACTCACGCGCTGATGACTGAAGATTATTTTACGACTCCTGACGACCTAAAATACTTCAACTTATAAGCGCGCTATAGACACTGGGCGATTACGCGCAAATTGCGCGCCTAACCAGTGGACGGCGGCCTTTAGAGTTTTTCATGTATTAAGAAATGATATTGTTATCCTCCTATTATCAATTTAAAAGGTAAAAGCGTGCGTCATCGTCACAAATTTGAAATTTAGTATCTTTTCTCGTTACTCCATAAACCCGGTCATAAATTGACGAGCTGCGCTTTGACTCTTTTACCTCTCCCGCTCAGCAACAACTCGGGAGCGCTAATGTGAAAAGTCTCATCACCGATAGATCCGCATTGCGGCGCGGTGCGAGCGCGATTCGTACTGAATCAGCACTGAATGCGCCGCCGCCTAATCACCGGCTCGGGACATCGGCCAGCAGGTTTCTCTGTGAATGGGGCGCGGGCCATTGCCGCTCTCCCCACACGTCGCAGCGCGCCGAGCCACCAGATTAATTCGTGCCGAACCTTTATTCGCCGACAGCGAAGCACCTCCCCCGGTAGAGCGTGATTATCATCTCTATCAAAAAGCCATCGGCCCCCACATGATGTTAAAAGCCCTGAATGGGAATTTAATACGCCCTTTAATGAAGAGAGCCCATAAAATTCGCCGCGTGGTTTTAGATTAATCCCGCCTCCTCGAATCTGTCGAATAAACAACAGAGCGCTGCCGGTCGTCGACGCGTGTGGGATAGTCGGTATCGACGCGAGCGATGCGGGGCGGCGATGGGACGGCGCCACGAGACGGCACGTGCCGGCGGCTCGTGCAGCCATGTAAAACATCGCACCGCCGCGTGCGCGTCACGTGGCGCACCGTGCCGCCTTCTGTTGCGCTCCGGTGCGCCGTGCCATACCGCGCCGCGCCGTGCCGCGATACACCGTAAGTCGCCGCAAAAACTGATGTGCGTTACGGACAAAATGATAACGAGAACCGGAGCTGGCTTACTGTGCCCCGCGGGCCGCGGCGCACGCGTGCTAGGAGATGTGGTAGTTAATTAGCGCCAGGGGTCGCATTAACCGCGGTGTATCTGGATGTTTTTCTTTGTGGTGATGGGCGATGAGAGGTATTCGGCGAATGATAACAAGCAGACTCACCGGCGAGCGTGCAGGGCGGGCATGCTGCATGGAGACTCCCGAAAATGTCGCCGACTCGCCGCTCGAACACCATTTGTGCCAAACGGTTCTTCTCGGAATGACAGTTCGTCGAAGCGTCACATCAGTTAACGCCACTGTAAAACAGACTGATAGATTGTGATAATTACGGCGGTTCTGCATTGGATCGCAGCCATCAAAAGCATCACGAAATATTACGTAAGCATAAGCGCATCTATCATTTTCAGAATGAATGCTCACACAGCTGTCACATCTGTTCAGTATCGCTCATATCGCTCGTTGGTGTAAAATAACGTTCGTTTTCTTTTGTCCCCAGACCCACCATCTCCCGGTGCAGCGGACCGCAAGTCACCGGCTCTGCCGTCGGCACCGACAGAGGCCGTCGACGACGCCGACGACCGCAACGGCGGCGACGATCTGCGCGACGGCAAGGACCGGCGCAAAAAGAAGACACGCACCGTGTTCTCGCGCAGCCAGGTGTTCCAGCTGGAGTCGACGTTCGACATGAAGCGCTACCTGTCCAGCTCGGAGCGCGCCGGCCTGGCCGCGTCCCTGCACCTGACCGAGACCCAGGTGAAGATCTGGTTCCAAAACCGGCGCAACAAGTGGAAGCGTCAGCTGGCCGCCGAGCTGGAGGCGGCCAACATGGCGCACGCAGCGCAACGGCTGGTGCGCGTGCCGATTCTGTACCACGAGGGCGCCGCGGCGGCGGCCGGGAAGGGAGGCGGTGCCAGCGGCGGCGGCGGCGGCGGCGGCGGCAGCTCGGCGTCGGCCTCGACGGCGTCTGTGGGCGCGCCGGAGCCGCCGCCGGCGGGCGGGCCGCAGCCGGCGCCGTCCGTGTCGCTCGGAGGGTACGGGCCGCTGTTCTACCCTCCCTCCTCTCCGTACACACCCACCTGTCGACCGTCGCTGTCCGGCCTGGTCTGAGCGGGAGAGGTCGGCGCGGCAGACAGACAGAGGGAGAGGGTGGGGCGGGACAAGGGTAAAGGCAGGGTAAACGTGGACATTCCATACTTACGGGGTAGATTATCATGCGACACAGCTTAGGTGTTACCGAAGGCAGTTGAATTTATTATCTGCTTAGGGAGGGCATCAGGCCATTATAAACTATTCACATGACTTTCAGAGCAGAGGTAAGCAACTATCCAAAAAGCAATTTTTAGGGCAAGTGCTGTGGGGAGGGGATTAACATTGGATCGGAAATCATATCTAACTGATAGGCATGATGGAGATTGAGAAGCACTGGGATGAGTATGGGATACCTGTCTTGTCACGTTGTTTGTCACCAGAACCAAGTATTGCAATATTTGCGCTCTCACTCGCACGCGCAGCACCAGCACCCGGCGCAGCGCAGCGCCAGCGCTCGTGTAGCGCAGCTCCAGCGCTGGTCGGAGCAGCACCAGCGCTGGGCGACACAGCACCAGCACGGGGCGACACTCGAGTGCAGGACGGGACGCGACTAGTCAGAGCCGGGTACCTTTGGGTGTGTTGTTGGACGTTCGGGACATCGCTAGGACAGGGATGTCTTTTGATGGTGATGATGCTAATGCACAAGATATAGATACCACACTCGTGTTTGCTGTAAATATTTACGGTGTACATACATTTCGTGCATGAGCTATAGTAGATCCGTATCATGGGTGTATTTATGAACTCGATCGATTGAAAATAATTCTGTTTAGTTATTTTTAATTTTTGTGTACCGTGGAAATAATGTTACATCTTTAATCTTTCTCGATTGACTGTTTTATTCATGTGACACGTGTGATGTACCCAGCACCGATTTGAGGATTCTAGTCAGTATTTAGCTATCATGACGCGTCGGAGGTTATTGTGATCATGTTTTTGGCAGCTCTATATGGCGAATGTGGTGTTCTAACCATAACTAAGGGACAACTCCCGTATGTGTTCTTACCTTTCCCATGGATAAAATATTACGCATGACTGCTTTTTAGTTCAATGTATTTCCTTCTAATTTGCCGACTGTATGTAATTCCTAAGCACTAGTCATAAGTTTCTTCTCACGCATATGTTGAACCTTATCTTATCCGTGAGATGTTTGTCATAATCAGCTCTCGTAAATACATTACCTTCTTATAAAACATGTCAATTTTGTGTACCACGTATGTACTTATGTGTTTGTTGATAAGAATAAAATACCAGTGGCAAGAATTGTTTACCTAAGCCGGCTGCATTGAGGATTTAAGGGAAATTAAATGAGCAAATGCCTCCTTGACATGAACAATTAAAAACAAATGTTTATTAGTGATGGATGAGCATTGAATTTGCAGTATCTACCATGACCAACACCCACCTCGAGGGTAGGATCGAAACGCGGCTTCGATTAGCGCCACGTGGCATGAAATCTCAATTGACCTTCGGTTCACCCAATAGACCCTCGGTGGTCCGATCGTGCACATAAGGCACGGGGCGTTTTGTGCCCCCCCCCCCCCCCAGCTCTAACTGTGCTCTTGGGCGGCCATGTAGGTAATCACAAGCAATAAGCGGTGCTTAAAAAGTCGTGAAAATCAGTATGAAAGCAATTCGGTCATTTTTAGGACATACTAGCCGTTTTCACGACGGCCATCTGGTACACATTTTGTGCAGATTAGGTGCAGTTTTGGTCAAATTATGTTCATTGTGTTTCTGAAAAGATGTCCGTTTGGGTTACACAGATGCTTGCAGACCTCGTTTTTCAATTTAGGCATCAGACGTTATTTTCGATTAAAATACTGAAATAAATTCATGCGATGAAGATATTTGTTATAGAAGAGATTCGGTGCAAATTTGGACAAATTAGGTGCATTCGCCAGATAGCCCGTCGTAAAAACGGTTATAAGGAGGCAGATCACCACTTAAGATAATTACTTTCTGTGCTGACCTTCCATGGACAAATTGGCCCATAACAACACCCAAATTTATAGAGTACGCACGATAACTATGAAAACATTTTTGCTCTTTTTATAGCAAAATGGCACACAAGCACTCAACTGTAGTTCATCCTGGCAAGCTTCTAATCATTCTGGGTGTATTTTCATTCGTTGAAATGTAGGTAGTGATGTTCTACTTTCAAAGCAATATTCTTATTCTAATTGCAAAACATAAGAAAGTCAAAAGATGTTTTTATCCCGGGCAATAAAGTTGAAACTCATTTTTTACTTTGTTTAATCGTCTGAACAAGAGCTGTTCTTCATTTTGCCTGACATTATATGTAGATCGTGAATCAGTAGTTTTTAGGTTCCACCGGAAGCTAATATTAACCGAAAGTCCGGTGTGCAGATTTCCAGAGATATCAGTTGAAGATCTCTGGTAACTAAGTGGCAAGCGGCTGGCACCGACGAAAGGGCTGGAAAGTCTCTCGACTCGAGAGGAAGTGCCCTGTTTTCGGATCGGGTGGACACTGATAGACGCCCTTCCTAAGCGGCTTATCATGTTTAGTGGCTGCACCCGCGCGAGGCTCGGTTACGGGCAGCCTGTTTTCGGCCGAGCCGCTCTGGCGCCGGCACTGGACGCTTTTGGTCGCCTCCTTCCACGCTGAGCGGCGACCAGCGCCGGTCACGTGATCACGCCAATGGGCCGTCCATGGCGGTCACGTGCCGGTGCCGGTTTCCGGCTAGGTGGCGGTGAATGGCTGAGGCCCCGGGGCCAGATGCGCGGGTAATCTCCCGGCCGCCGACATTAGCCTAATACTGGCTCCCCGGCCGTCGCCCGTATTATTCCCGCTTACTCGCCGGTAATGGCCCACTGTATTAGAGTTAATTATTGCGCAAACTGGCAGCAGGCGCGGTCGGGGCGCGCGCCGGGGGACGGGAGGGGAGGGGAAGGTGCCAGCTGAGGGGTACTGATTGAGCGGCGATGGCCCGTCCGATTACATTGTGATCACGGCTGGCTGGCCCGGCGGCCGCGCCGCTCCGTAAGTGCCCAAATATGTTGGCTCCCATCTGGGAGGGCCGGCCAGGGGTGTGAGCACGCCGCTGGTAATTCAGACCATGGATGAAGTATTTACAGACTACCACCGCCGGTAATATGTTGGCGGACCAACGACTCGGCAAATGACGCCGGGCACCGCAGATCGGCAGAGGGCGCCCGATTAAATGGGAGGAGATGATGCATGTAATGCGCGAGATGAGAATGCGGTTAGAATTGTGTTAGAGTGGCGGCCTTTCAGAGGTAGTCATTGTAAGATAAGCGGATGCTAGTTCATGCGAGAATAGCGCTGCTACAGGCGCAATTTCACAATGGGGATAATGATTAGATAAAGTTAATTCCTTTGAATAACTAACGCAATTTACAGTAAGCTCAGCCTGGTGACGGGTTGAATGACATCATGTTTAGCAGGGGAGCAATGCCACCTTTAATAACAGTTTATGATAGCTTGTTTTATTGACAATGCCAATGGGAGAGTGGGGTGAATTGACTAGTCGGGTGCATTGTTCGTGCATGCGTCAAACACGCGTCCGTCTGTCCGTCTGTCCATCCGTCCGTCCGTCCGTCCGTCCGTCCGTCCGTGTGTCTGTCTGTCTGTCTGTCTGTCTGTCTGTCTGTCTGTCTGTCTGTCTGTCTGTCTGTCTGTCTGTCTGTCTGTCTGTCTGTCTGTCTGTCTGTCTGTCTGTTCGTCAGTCTATTCTATCCGTCCATACGTCCATCCGTCCGTACGTCTATCCTTCTGTTCGTCTGTTCGTCAGTCCGTCAGTCTGTCTGTCCGTCAGTCCGTCAGTCCGTCAGCCCGTCAGTCCGTCAGTATGTCTGTCCGTCAGTCAATCAGTCCGTCAGCCCGTCAGCCCGTCAGTCTGTCTGTCCGTCTGTCCATCTGCACGTGCCTGTCCGCCTGTCCGTCAGTCCGTCTGTTCGCCAGTCTGTCCGTCAGTCCGTTTGTCTGTCTATCCGTCTGTCCGTCTGTCCGTCTATCCGTCTGTCCGTCTGTCCGTCAGTCCGTCTGTCCGTCTGTTCATTTGCACGACAGTCCGTCTGTTCGCCTATCCGTCTGTCTGTCCTTCTATCCGTCGTCCGTCTACACGTCTTTCTATCTCGTCTGTCCGTCGGTCTGTCTGTCTGTCTGTCCGTCAGTCTATTCTATCCGTCCGTGCGTCCATCCGTCCTTCCGTCTGTCCATCTGTCTGTCCTTCTATCCGTCGTCCGTCTACACGTCTTTCTATCTCGTCTGTCCGTCGGTCTGTCTGTCCGTCTCTCCGCCTACCTACCGATCCGTCTGTCAGCGCACCGCTCGTTAGCGGTAGGATGGTCTCTCCAGTTGCACGTCAATTATCCTCAGTGGCGCGTGCGATTGGTAACTGGAGTGCGCCGCCGGCGCCGCGCTCGCTCGTCATTTTCCGTAACTACGCGCTGGGTCGGCTCGATGGCGGATGATCAGCGCTGCTAACCGGGCGGGGGCGGGGGTGGGGGCGGTATCCCTGACAGAGACACTAGGCAGAGGCTATCAGGTTATATGTGAAAATAGATGTGTTGCTATGAATCAAGCGCACCATGTAGCTGAACCTTTTTACGACAATGTGTGATGCTGTCCCAATGGGTTTCAAATTGTCACACGAGACATTTGCAGATAATAAATTTCAGCACCATCATTTAACGCAAAACATTTTGACCTATCAAAACACACAAAGCCCGTTCCTTTCGAAAAACTCCATGCACTGCTTGAGGTCTAAGCTCTATAGAATATGAAATTTGAGATTCAAAATATTATTAGAGTGAACTGTGGATCTTTACTAAGATGGGCCAGGTCAAGTTTTATACGATAAAAAAAAACATCGCACAAATAGAATGAACAGTAGAGTGGACAGCATTCAAATTCCAAGCGCGAGGTCGGATGCCATGAAAGGATCGCAAAAACGTCAGTGGCCAATGAATGATACTGACATCGCCACTGCATTTTGTGGCCGATGCAACGCTTACCGAAACTGGCGTCGTTTAAATTGTCCTTGATGTGACTAGTTATTAGGTATATAGTTATTAGGTAACTCTGTGTCCTGAAAAGTGACTAGTTAAGTAGCAAGATACCCATCGGAATTATTAGATCATCATTCGTAATAATATATCTTTTTCCACATGTTACAGCAAGTCGAGCACCCACAAATAACAACACTAACTATGCATTCACCTTTAAACTTTACCAGTCGCGTCAAGATGTGTTCATCCGTTTGCGTTTCCCTTCCAAGAGTCGCGTCATAAATGATATCATTACCGTGCTTGAAAATGAGTGACAATAAGCAACAATTAATTGTGAAAAGCCGCTCAATAAATGTGACGAAATCAAGAGAAATAAACGATTCATTTTAACAACGATTCATGTTATGTTTCCAATTTCAATGTTATCTACTTGTCTCAAGAAGTCCATGGTTTCAATGCTGAGCTGCTGACCCGCACGGCGTCTCATATCCGCTACACTTGTCCGCACTTCTGGGGTCCGAGTTCCGACCCCGTACCCGGTCCCACGACCGGTAGCGACATGGAACATCCATTGTCCGCTGTTCGACCACCGCCGACAGCGGCTCGAATTTCCCATCCCGTCTTATCTTTCCCGCTCAACTCCTGGTCTTTAGTATCATATCCATTACCACCTATCCGGTGACCGAATCTGACCCGATTACCGCCCTGACCCCTGTCCCCTCCTGTCCTCTCTCCACCCCTCCCTCGGCCGGTCGGCGGCGCTCTCTCTCTCTCTCTCTCTCTCTCTCTCTCTCTCTCTCTCTCTCTCTCTCTCTCTCTCTCTCTCTCTCTCTCTCGGAGACGGTACCGACTCCCAACACCCAGCGTCGCCACCGACTGCCGCAGCGATGGAACCGATCGATTGTCTCTGACAGTCGCCGCGGCTCGACCTCGGCGGCGGCGAGCAAACGCGCCGATTTCGCGCCACCCTCTGCGGATCGGTGGGCGATCCAATTTGGCGCGAGGCGCGCGCACTCAGTCGGCGCAGGAAAGATGGCGGCGCGACTTCTGTGCGGTGTGGGACTGCAGTGCGACAGCCCAGGCCAGACTTCTACAAAGACGGGAAAGGGGGCAAATAATGTGTGGTGGATGTGGACTATGGCAAGCTTGCCAAAATGAAGGATGTGTAAAGAGCACTGTGTTTGATAGTGACATGACAGGGTATCAAAATGTGTCACGCGTTTACTTTTCACCCCGTGTGAGCCAAACCGAGTCTGAG